TCAGATTGCTGCAGGGTGAAGAGGAGGAGGAATTGGGCTCCTTTCTGCTTGCCATGGTCCAAGCCACTTCTCTGTTCTGGTGTCACAGACATGGGGCTCCTCTTAGAAATAACACAGGTCCCACAGGTTTATGTTGTCAGTACTGGTGATCAGCAGATCTCTGTACGGTATGACCAAAACAATGAACAGATCTCAGAGTAAAAGAGTCGCGCCTGAGCACATTTGCTGCTGCAGACAACCTCTCTCATCAATATACAACAACCCCCCCCTTCCTGAACAAGGCCTGCAGCCCAGGGGGGTGGGGGGAGACAGTCCTCATTGTAGATGCAGGGCTCTCTCTCTCTACCATCTCTGTGACCCTCACCCCACCTTTTCCTGGTGCTGCCTCCTCCCCACATTCCTTTGCCTGGTAGGAGGAAATCATCTTTTCATTTCTCTGCTCTATAAGAAAGAAACAGAGGTTAGAAAGAAGGCAAAAGTGCAGAAAGTGCTCCCTCATAGGGCCTCCTGGGGACACCCGGGGTAATCTGGAGACTGATTTTCAGATGCTGGCGGCTTTGTTTAGTTGATGCTCTCAAAACAGATCAGGCCTCCCTCCACTTAAAATGTAAGCACCCAGGTTTCTGAAATGGGTACCCAGCATCAGTAATAGTAACGGGGGGGAGAGAGAAAAAGAGAGAGAGCGAGAGAGAGAGAGAGAGAGAGAGAGAATACATTTCTCTGAGCAAGGCTCACTTTAGTAAGCAAAGAGTGTAATTTGAAGCAAGCCCAGAGAAGTTATGCTTTACACGGGGGACAGGGGCAAAATGGCCAGCCACTGGGACTGCAAGCCAACAGCTTTAATTTAAGAAAGCAGTCCTTTCTGCTGCGAGGCCGGCTAGAAGTGTCAGCACAGCCTCTTTCTCCCCCTCACGGTTGTTATTACAGAGCTTCCAGGAACCCTAAACCCCAGCTCTACCCTCAGCTTGAGGCAATCCTTTAGTAGTAACCAAGCCGAGAGCCCCAGGCAGAAGAGTCTGGGGCCAAAAGGTAGGGCGTTTCCCCTGCGCAGAGCCCTTCCAGGATGGCTTCCCAGTCCGAGGTTTGTTCTGTCTGCCTTTCCCTCCGGGGAGACTCCAAAGGCTGCCGAAATCTGGGCGCCCGCTTGCTCGCTTGTCAAAAAGCAAACTGTCTTCACATACTCCAAGAGTAACATCCCTGCTTAGGAAGAGGAAGGAAAGAGGCAAAATAAATAAAACCAGTTAATGTTGTAGTTAACTTGCAAATCAAGTAAATCTGTTGGTGCCGTATTTGAGAAATAAACCACGAGAGCGTCACAGCAAACACACACTTCTGAACGTCTTCATTTTGATTTAATGGTGTATCAGCGTCAACTCTCGCTTCCTCTGCTGGTACACTCGGCCTGATGCCGCGGGGGGAGGGCGCCCATGTTTATCACCGAGCGAGATGACTAATTACACCTTGTCAATCACCGGCTATGAAGACATAAAACCAGCACGCACAATGAAATAGTTGCCTGCAGCGTCAATTAGTTGGCGATTCCGAGGGTATTTGCGTGGCCCTGCTTTGGCCGCCTCTAATAACGGGACGGAGCGCCGGGAACCGCGCGCAGATCAATCACCCTGGTTCCGCGGCGCCCCGCGCCCTCCTCCCCCTCTCCCCTCCTCCGGCCTCACTTTCTCCCTTGCGCAGGGCGCTTCTTCCTCCGCGGCCCCAGTCTGGTGGCGCCGCCAGCCCCGGGAGCCCCGGGAACTTTGCGCCCGGCCTCTCCGCAGCCGACAGCCGGGAGCCCCGCAGCCTTCGGGGAGCGCCGGGGCTGGTGGCCCTTTTGTTGGAGGAGGCGTGGAGGAGTGCTTTTGTTCTTAGTTAGTCACGGTGGCCGGCTGGAGGCTGCTACCTCATTATGCGCTGGGTCTGCTAGTCTGCGGGGAAGCAGATGGTGGAGAGGTAGGCAGCGGCGACTGCGGCCAGACCTGAATCCCATTCACCTGTCACCTTCCGCAGACGCAGGGAGCGGGAGGCTGGGAACGCCTTACCCCTGGCCGGGGAAAGGGGTGGAGGGGCCGCCCTTCCAGGCATTTGTGGATGCTCCAGTTACCTGTCCTAGCCTGACCTCCCCCCCCCCCGCCTCCCGCCTGCCTTTCCCACTGCTGAGGCTCCTCGCACTGTGTAAATGTCACTCACGTGTCAGGATCTGTGTTTACAGCCTGTTCCTCGCCTTGCTTAGTCTCCCAGGACAGGGCAAAGCGATTGCGCGACGGCCCCCAGTGATTAGCAAAGTTAGCGGCCTCTGAACCCAGGGCCCGGGTGCCCAGATGCCGCCCTGCAGTGGGGAATGCGCTTGAGCCTCTAACAGACGCTATTGCGTCCCAGCCAAAAAACACGGGATAAATAGAGAAGCCGGGATCCCAACGGCCAGAGAGTTCAGGCCAAGGAATGACAGGACTGCTGGTCAGAGAGCTGGGGACCCAACGGTGTCCATCTCTTTATGGGGACAGTTTCCTGTCCCTTGGGTAGCTCCCAACAACCACCCCAGCTCCTAAGGCAGCCCCTTCAGTCTAGCCGGCACCGAAAACACACACTCAAGGTTGGCTACAGAAGTTTCCTACACCTTGAGTGACTTCCACATCACCCCTGGTGACTCCCAGATTCACATTTCATTTCCTACTTTCTTTGAAAGAAAAAAAAAAGTGTCCCAGATACCCCAGTATAAAGTGCTTGCGTATCCCTAGAGCTGACGGTGGGCCAGCACTCTCTGGGCGAACATGTCCATCCCTGTCTCTCGACTGATGGCCTTTTCCCTGGAGTTGCAAACATGTGTATCACTTGAAGAGTCTTTGCAAATACTCCTGAGAGGAGCTCACAGAAGATTAAACAAGGCTAGCCTGGGCACACAAGTGTTGGTGCTGGGCATCCGGACGTCCCCTTGGGGATGGGGTACACTTGTCCATTAGTACCTGAGTGCTGGCTACGGTTTGGCCTACGAAGACAAAATTCATGCTGGCTGTGTTTTTGCCAGAAGAGGTGAACATGAGCACTTTGGTACACGGACAGGAAGAAGCTTAGGCGCTACAAGTGCAATGCACATTTATGTGAGAAAGTTTTGTACAGTATGTGGAAAGTGTGACTTGGTGATACCGCCACTGTGTGCCCTGTGGAGGTCCTGGCTTCCCTTTGGCTGTGTCGGGCAAGCAGACTGGCATTTCAGACTCGTTTCTACCGCCCTGTCACGTGAAATGAAAACAACTTGCAAAATGAACTCAGAGAAGGAGTTTGAGTAACTGACTTGTCTTTTTCTTTTTTAAACCCCAAATCACTTATTTTTCTACTTCCCAAATTTCTGTTCTACCAGACACCTGGCCATTGCCCTGGGTTCAGCCGAGACACATCCCACTGGCAGTTGGGATTTGCTGGGCAGGCCATGTTATTGTTAGTTCTAGCGTAACCAGGTGGCTGGGTGGATCCAGATATGGGAGAGGGGGATGAGGGGAGTGTGTGTGTGTGTGTGTGTGTGTGTGTGTGTGTGTGCCAGTGGGATGGAGTGTCCCAAAGAAAGAGAATGGGCCTGTGGTCTTTAAGAACTGCCAAGTGTATCCGGGAGTGAGGAGGTTTTGATCAGGAAAGGAAAAAGAAGGAGCGATTAAGAAATTCGCTGAGTGCCTACTATGTTCCAGTGATTTTCTATTTTTTTTTTTCTTTCATCACACCCAAACACCTAAAAGCAGGAGACCTTCTTGTTTCCCATCAAGAAAGTCAAACAGCGTAAAGGTTGAGTCACTCTCTCGGGAGAGCTATGGACTCCTTGCTTCTTTTTTCTGAGTTCCTGAAGGCGTGACTGGAGAGGCTGGGGGGGGGGGGGAATCGAGGAGCAACACGCCCAGCAGCATAATTCCTAGCTCGCTTGGAGCGAGGACCTGCTGGCCAGACCCGTGGGAGTCATTGCTCCCGTGGCTTTTGCGCCTGGTCCCAGGAGGCCTGCGCGGCGCTCGCGGCCAGCAGAGCAGCGCCCCAAACCAAAGCTGAGCTGGGCGGGAAGCAGCCGAGGGCTCTCCACGCTGTACTCCGGCCCGTCTCTGCCCATCCCCGCCCCAGGTTCCAGAGGCCAAAGGGGAGCATGGAGACCTCAGGCATCCTTCGGCTGCGCTTTCTTAGGATAGAGTCGGCAGGAAAGGTTTAATTTTCCTTCCCGGAGAAACACAGGAAACTGTTCGCAGCTCAGAAACTCCAAACCCCGCGCTCTCCCTTCTCCCTCCCTCCCGCCTCCTCCTCCAGCCTCGCCCACCGGCTCCCACCGCCTCCTCTCCCCGTTCTTCTTCTCCCCTAGCCTCTCCCCTCCCTCTGGGTCTCCCGCCTTCCCGGAGCACGCGCTGCCAAGGCCCGGGGCGCCGGGCGGCCAATGGCACGGCGGCAGGACGTGATGTCAGGCGCGGCTGTAGAAAAGGCGCGGAGGCTCGCGCTGGCGCGGACTGCGGGGCCGGGGCTGAGCTCGGCGCGCGCTCGGGTGGCTGCGCGCGGCTGGGCCCGCGGCCGGCGGCTCCTCCTCCTCCCACAGTGCTCCGCCTCCTTTCTCTCCTCCGCCACCTCCTCCCCGGCCGCCTCCTCCTCTTCCTCCTCCTCCTCTCCTCAATTCTCTCGGTGGCTCGGCTCGGCTCGCAGGCTTCGTGGAGACCCCTACTCCAGTCCTCCTCTGGCTGGGAACACACCCCGGGGGGAAGAGACGTCCGGGCATCCGGGCCGCCGCGGGCACCTTGCTGTTCCCGGGCGAACCCTGACTGCAGCCACCGCCGCCCGGGGCAGAGTTTGCGCCCCTGATTTGCGCCCCGGGCGCCAGAGCCCAGCGAGCGATGCCCGCGGCGTGAAAGCGCCCGCAGCGGGCGCCGACCTCTGCCCCGCTCTCCCGCCCCCACCGCAACCCCTGCCCTTGTGACCCTGGCTTCGGCGCCGCCGCCCGGGCGCCCCGCGATGTAGCTGCCCCGGCGCCTCGGCGGGAGGCGTCCTGGCCCTCGGGCGCCCGGGGCCCGGAGTCCGGCCTGGGGGCGCAGCCGAGCTCGGGCGGGGCCGGGGCCGCGGTGGCGATGCTCTGGGCCGGGTAAGGCCGGGAGCGCCGGGCAGCTGAGGCGGGGGGCGAGCCCTTCCCCGGGGCGGCCGCGTCCCCGGGCCCGCCGCGATGCTGTTCCACAGTCTGTCGGGCCCCGAGGTGCACGGGGTCATCGACGAGATGGACCGCAGGGCCAAGAGCGAGGCTCCGGCCATCAGCTCCGCCATCGACCGCGGCGACACGGAGACGGTAGGCGCGCGGCTACGGAGTTGGGGCTGAGCGCTGGGACCCGGGCGGGCCGGACAGCGCCACTGCCTCCCGAACTTTGGGGAGAGTCTTGAGAGGCGCACTAGCCTAAGGCTGGGCAGGGGGCGAGAGCCGGGGCTCCAGGCGCAGGGGAGCCGGGCTGCCGGGGCAGAGCCGGGGGTGAGGATTGAAAGCCAGCTCTGGCCCGCGAGGGTGGAGGAGAGCGTAGCTCAGGATGGAAGCTCCCCTCTCCCCTCGCCCGGCGCTCCAGTCCGCCGTCCTGACTTCCCACCGTTCGGCAGCCGCCGCCGGCGCCTCTGGGAAAGGGAGAACCGGTGGGAGCTGTGGCTCGGGCTGGGTTGAGTGGCTTCTGTCTCCTGGCAGTCGGGCTCTCTCCCTTGCTCGGTTTCAGGGCCCTGGGACTTCTGGGCCAGCACTTTTCGTTGATCGTAACCCGCGCTCCTAACTGGCCAGATTTGGCCAGGCAATGGTTCGGAGTTCAGGCTCCGGCCTGGTTTCCAAGGAAGAAGACTCCATTAGGTTTTCTGTACCTGGCTCCGCCGTCCCGGCCCCAAATAGCCTCCCCCGGGGCCAGACTAGCAGACGCTGCCTAAGCAGCAGAGTGACCTTTAGAGACCAAGGAGGTGGGAAGCCTGGCCCAAGCGGCTCCCCTTCTCGAGCGGGAGCCACAGCTCGATGACCTCTCGGTTTCCCTTGGGCCCTTCTGTCTGGATAAACCAGGGCTCCTCAGTTTGCTTAGGGGAGAAATTCGGATTGGGCCTGTCTTACACCCTCTTGGAAGGTCGCCCTATATCCCACTTAACCTTCTCCCAAGACCCAACCGGGGACCCAGCTGGTGTGGCAGAGGAGCCAGGAGTTTCTGGACCTGCCCTGGGCTGAACCTTTGGTCTAAGGATCAAGAGACTACTGAGGCTTGAGGCCAGGAAGCCTGCTGCCTCGCTGAAGAGGAGTGTGTGTGTGTGTGTGTGTGTGTGTGTGTGTGTAGAGCGAGACTTTTAATACTCGCCTTACTTTAGCCCTTAGCTCTTTCCTGCGGCCCAGTGCTTTTAATAAACAGTTTGAGGAATTCCCTTGATGAGTTTGGGGGAAGAGCCCCCCTCTGTCCTAGGGCAAGAGCAGGAGAGCAGAAATTAGAGAGACCCAAGGCCCAGAACAACTTAAAACTGAAAACTGGGGCTGAGGCTTGCCTCACTGGTTGCCTGGAGCTGAGCTGGGCAGCTCGGGCCTGTGAGGTGGAGAAAAATGGGCTACCCTGCCCGACCATCCTCCAGGCTTATTTCAAGACTAGCCAGGACCAGGGAAGGCGCTCGGGGCCGGTTCTCTTGCTGGGAGCAGAGCTGTAGGCTGTCCCTTACAGCGCCCCCTCTTCCTCCTTTCCTAGACCATGCCTTCCATCAGCAGTGACCGGGCCGCGCTGTGTGCCGGCTGTGGGGGCAAGATCTCCGACCGCTACTACCTGCTGGCGGTGGACAAACAGTGGCACATGCGTTGCCTCAAGTGCTGCGAGTGCAAGCTCAACCTGGAGTCGGAGCTCACCTGCTTCAGCAAAGACGGCAGCATCTACTGCAAAGAAGATTACTACAGGTAGATCCAGACCCCCTGCCGGCCCCCGGGGCTCGCGCCTCCCTCCCCGCCGCTTCCACGCCCAGTGGGGGTGTCCCTCCCCAAGACCCTTCTCCCAGCCAGCACCCGCCGAAATCCGGTGACAGTTTCTAAATCAGCAACCCGGGGCACCCTTGGAAAAGAATCGTGGAAACGGAGAGCCAGAAAAGCTGAATTCACCCTCCTCTCTGAGTTTAGGGCACTGAAAAACTCAGCTTAGGGGGGGTGGGGGGAGGTCTCCGTGCTACTTTCCCTTTTGAAGTTTCTTTACTCAAGCAGAAGGGATAGGAACAGACACCCCGAAAGCCGGGCAGCTTGGCTGATCAGAAACCTCGTTGAAAGGAGAGCTAGGGTAGCCCAGAAGTTCTGGTTCTTTGGGGGTGGGGTGGGGGTGGCAATAAAAGTTGGCCAAGGCTGAAGAGTAAGAGCGAAGGTCCTCCTTCTCTCCCCCAGCTTTAGAGTTAGGGTCTGTTTACGGATTCTCTCTGTATGTCTCTGTCTCTATTTCTCTCTTTCCCCATCTCTGTTTCTTCCAAATTACAGCGGTGTGTAGGATTCCCAGGTGCTGGTCTGGAGGGCAGGGGCGGAGGTTGAGGAAGGGGTAAGTGAGGGAGTTTCTCCCCGTTCGAAGTAAAGTCTTTCCTAAGACTTGCTCAGATTCTGACCAAAGCAGAGACTCCTGTGGGTGTGAAAACGCTTAAGGGAAACTGTTTCAGAGAGGGCCAGGCCCGGGTTAAAATCCAGTTCCCCGAGTCCTAATCCTCTCAGCGCAGTTCAGGCTGCCCCTCTCCAGGAGGGGATCCCCACCCCCACCCCCAGCACCCGGAGGAGAAGTACAGGGATCCGGGGGGGGGGATACCCAACTATTTGTCCCCACAGCCCCTCCCTCCATGGTCCCCGCAGGCGGTTCTCCGTGCAGCGCTGCGCCCGCTGCCACCTGGGCATCTCGGCCTCGGAGATGGTGATGCGCGCTCGGGACTTGGTTTACCACCTCAACTGCTTTACGTGCTCCACGTGCAACAAGATGCTCACGACCGGCGACCACTTCGGCATGAAGGACAGCCTGGTCTACTGCCGCTTGCACTTCGAGGCGCTGCTGCAGGGCGAGTACCCGGCACACTTCAACCACGCCGACGTGGCGGCGGCGGCCGCGGCGGCCGCAGCGGCGAAGAGCGCGGGGCTGGGCTCGGCCGGGGCTAACCCGCTGGGCCTTCCCTACTACAATGGCGTGGGCACCGTGCAGAAGGGGAGGCCGAGGAAGCGCAAGAGTCCGGGGCCGGGGGCAGACCTGGCTGCCTACAACGCTGGTGAGTGCCAGAGCGCCCGCAGCCCCGGCCCGGCTGGGGGGCGAGGTTCCGCGCGCTTGGTGCTCAGTGGGCACCCCGGGCCCTGCGCGCCAGGGTGCCGGCGGGAGGGGCCCGAGGCCTCCGGCTGCCAGTCGGCGTTCCTTCGGCCGAAGCGTTAGGGAGAACGCCTTAGGTCACGGGTGAGCCGGGGGCAGGACCCTGTCGGTGAGAAACCATGGTTTGGACACCGCCTTGGTCTGCCTCGCCCGCTTTGCCGTGCAGAAAGTGCGGGGGGGGGGGGAAGCGAGGCGCCGCCGACACCAAACAGGCTCCGAGTGGCAGGGAGACCAACAGCTCTGGGCGGCGAGGGTCCCAGGAGAGAAAAAGGCTGGCAGGGGCCGAGAGCACCGTTGGGCTTGGCTTGCAGCCCGGTTGTACGGAATATCCCCAGGGCGCCAGGCCTGGAGCTGTTGCTAGCAAGGGCTGTGGGTCCGTCTGTCCTGCCGGGTCCTCGGGCACCAGGCGCCGCCAGGTCTCCGAGATTTTCCTTCCCCTCCTAGCAAGCAGCTCTCTCCAAAGAGACTCGTGCAGGCCGGTCCTCGCAGAGGACTGTGGTGGTCACGATTCGCGGTTGTTGTTTTGTTTTTTGTTTGTTTGTTTTTTAAGTTTGGGCCCTTTCAGAGAGGCTCTGTGGTGCTCCAGCACCATCCTGGCTCTGGACAGGTTCTGCGGCCCAGCCACGTCTGCCGAGGTCTGCAGGGCCGAAGGCTTAGGACTCTTAAGTTTATAACAACAAATCTGACGCTGAGATTTTTTTTTTTTCTCTTTCTGCTTTCCTCTCTAGTCTAAATCACAAGATGTGTGCGAGTGTGTGTGTGTGTGTACAAAACCAAAACAAACCCAGGATTGTAGATCTGCTGTGGTGGTGACGGAAGAAGTCAGAGTCGTTAGGATTTTAAACAGCCTGAACTGCTTGGGGTGGGGGGTGGGGTGGGGGGACGGGTAAGGGCAAGTGGAGTAGGTCCTTTTTCCGCTCCAACGAAATTGCTAGATAGAGGATCCCAGGACGATTAGGGAGGGGGGAAATGCAAGCCCCGGTCGTGTGAGTGGTAAAGCGGTGGCTGGTTCGGCGGTGATTTAAAAATTGTCCAAAGTGCTACTTAAAGAGACCATTCTTCAGCGCTCACATTCTCATCACTCACCAGCCTCAAAAGAAAGAGTAGATCCGGCCCAGGCCCGTTTCTCCCCAAACCCAGTGGCCTCTATTTATCAGGTGGGTCAGCTTTGCCGCAGAAAGACAGGGAAGACTCTGCTCCAGAGTATCTGGGGTGTGGGGAGCCTGGTGTTTTCTTGGACACACCGGATTGGCACGCGGTTTGTGATCGTGGAAAAAAAGAGAGAATGAGGTTTCAAGATTTATTTTTTCCTTTTTGTTGCTCAGCCTTGTCCTTCCCAAGAGGCAGCGGGAAGCTGTGGCTGGTGGCCGCGTTCCGGGAGAGGCCCTTCTGCCACCTCGGTTTTCTCTTTGCCTCCCCCCTCTTTTATTTCCGTCCTTTTTGTTATTTTCCCCCCTGCCCTCCTCCGTGTTCCTCAGCTTGTCTGCTCCTCCTGCGCGCGGGTCTGGGCCTTGGCCGGCCTGGACTCTGAGTCCTGGGAGGGACGGCGGCGCCCGGGCCCACAGGCGCTGGCTGCGCGGCTCGCTGCTTCGGGGCTCCCGGGACTAAGTTTGGAAGAAAGGGTGACTCTTTTTGTTCGCCTGGCGCGGCCGGGCTTCCCTAGATCTGCCTCCTGCCTTCTCCCTCGTCTCCCGGCACGGGCAGGAGAGAAAGGGCTGCGGTGTGGGCCGCGGGGCAGCTGGGGTCGGGCCGCGGGCCCCGGGGGGCGAGGCTGCGGGCTGAGCGCGTCCAGGCAAGCGCGCGTGGCCGGATAGCTCGGCTTCCGCTCGCGGGGACAGCGGGTCGCTCGGTGAGCGGCCGGCGCCCGGGGGCCAGCCCCACGGACGCCCTGGAGACCCGCGCTCCGGGGGCCTGCCCCGCAGAGGGAGGTGGAGCCGGACGTCGGCGGGGAAGGGGCGCAGCGGGGTCCCCCAGGCCTCGGGTCGTGGGGTCGGAAAGTTCCTCCGGGGTGGGGGCCGCGGCTGCCCTTCTTCCGGGGACCCTCTGGTCCGGGCGCGCGCCCCCACCCCCTTGCCCGGAGGCAGGACCCAAATCCCCCCCCCCCACCCCCACCCCAAGCCGGCCCGAGGCTCCCGGTCGGTGGTGGGAGCCCGCGAGGGGCCTCGGACGTGCACTTTGAGCGCCACAGCCACGGAAGTCGTGAGCAGATCCGCTGGCCGGGCTCGGCCTCCCCCAGCCCCAGCTTTGTGTGTGTGTGTGTGTGTGTGTGTGTGTGTGTGTGTGTGTGTGTGTGCCTGGCGGCGTAATTACTGATTTGATTCCAATCCATTATTTAGACAATTGAACCTACAGTCTCGTCTTTAGTAAAATGAGGCGAAGTCAGATTTGATTACAGGTTCAGTCCCAGCGACAAGAGCTCGAAAACCCGATGGGTTAATAACAGATCACGAGTAAATTATTCATGATTTTACGAGCTCTTTAGCTCCATTGAATCGGCCTAATTGAGAGGAAAAAAAAAAAAGGGGGGGGGAGAAAGCCCTGGTCCTCCCCCTCCTCTCAGCCCCTCGCTCCTCCCCGGACCCGATCTTGGGGAATCCCTACACGGCCCCAGGCTTTAGGGGCGCGAGTGGAGGGGGGCCGAGCATCGGGGCCTCCTCCGCCGTCCGGTCTCCTCCGGCTCCAACCCCGGCCTTCACCGCCGGCGGCTGGGGCCTCGGTCGGGCCACCTAGGGCTCCTAGGCTCTTCCCTGCTGGCTCCACTTCCCAGCCAATAGCCGTTTGGAAAAGTCTTCTCCATAGAGTCCTGGTCTCCTTGAGCCCCGGGATTAGTTCGATCACGCGGACTCCCCACCACATATCCCCCTTATTTCTGAGACTTTTCATTCAGGGCTCTCTCTCTCTCTCTCTCTCTCTCTCTCTCTCTCTCTCTCTCTCTGTCTGTCTCTCTCGTTCTCCTGGTTGCCACAGCTTTCTTCCTCTGGTTCCCTACTCCTCTCCCTTGGCTCTGTCCATCTTCCCGCCCCCTCCCCCCCCCCTTCTCTAGCTTTCTACCTCTGTCATCTCGGCCACCCCTCCCCACCACCTTCCCCCATAGTAGGCCGCTCTCAGGGCACCTCCCTTGGGCCTACAGGGCGCCAGGGTCCCCACGGAGCTCATTAACAGCAGTGAGGCCCAGGTGGGGGCTGGGCAGAGGGATGAGCCTAGAGATTCCCCATGGGGGAGGCCTGCCCCAACCCGGTAAAACTGGGGGCTGGGAGAAACAGGAGGGTCCATTCCCGGTGCGGGGTTAGAGCTGCTGGCTAGCGGGAGTCGTATTCTTATCCCCTTTAAATTCTTCGCTCTGGATGTTCCGGGTGGAAACAGTGGTGGGAGGAGGAGGGGGCGTGGATGCTTGGGTACATGCGAATACACACCCCGACATAGGGTCGCTCCTGATTTACAGCTTCAAGCTGCAAAGTAGGGCCCATTGAGGCAGTGGTATTTGGGCAAGAGGGGGTGGTGCAGAGAGGGCTTCCTAGGTTGTGTTGTCGGAGGAGCCACTTAGTTCTGAATTTGGGGCAAATTTTTACAAGTATCCTGATCAGCACATACATCTTCGATAAAATTTGAGTTTCCTTTGGGCCCATGCAATCTTTGGGGCTCATGACGGCTTAAAAAAAATCCGTTTGTTTATCAGAAATTCAAATCTACCTGGGAACTATTCACATTTATTTGCTAATTTTGGCACCTCTGTCGTAGGCATCAACTATGTTGGAAGCTGCCTTCCCAGTTCTGTGAAGATGGGGTGACTTGGGATGAAATGAGGGATTACTGAGGGATCCTGAATGTCCTCATCAGCTGAGCAGTCACTGATATCCAAAGTTCCTAACCCCTCCCAACCAGGAACCCTCCCCAGGCCCCAGTAAAGCCAGGCTCCCTAAAGAGTCAGGCTCTATCTCTCCCCCCCCTGGAGGTGTCACAGCAGGAAGAGGGGAGGGGGGCTCAAGCGTTGGCTCGGGCTCAGCCTTTGCCAGTGTGTGAGAGTGGCTTCCTTTCCTTGGCTTTAGTTTCTTCACCTCTAAAATGGGAACAGTAGTGATGGGACAGGGACACATATAAAGCCAGAGCCTAAGGAAGGCATCTAATGCGCGTTGCTACCTTTCTCCAATTCTCTCCCTCCCAGTCTACCTACTGCTCTGTCCCTGAGACCGGCCAATCAACCCGTAACTTCCCCAAACCTCATTTGCTTCTTCTGCAAACGTGGGGAGCCTTTCACAGGACAGTGCTGAAGATTAAACTACAAAGTGCAATTCCCAGTCTTAGGCCTGGTGCTGGGGGCCCTGGAGCCCACTCGGTCCTTGGGGGGAGAGGGGACCCGAGGAGGGAGAGTTGATGAAAGTGGGATGAAATAGAAGCTGTCAGTCAGTAACTTCTGGGTGCCAGCGGAGTGCTTGTCAGTGCCAAGGGGAGATGGAGACTGCGGCGGGGGAGGGGGGGGGATCCTTGGCTAGTACTTGGGAAACAAAAGAGTGCAGGCCCCGGGTGGCTGCCCACACCACTGTCAGAGCCTGGCCTGTGGCCTTCCCCTTGTGCCCCAGCATCTGTAAAAGGACCAGCTTTACCTGCCCAGCCGCTGTGTGCTTGTGCAGAAAGCCTTTCAAGGCCTGGCAAGTTGGCTTAGTGGGTCCAGGGACCTGCTGCCAAGTTTGCAGACCTGAGTTCAATCCCCAGAACCTCTTCACACACACGAAGTAAATACATGTAAAAGAGTAAAGAGAGACCCTTTTAGTGCAGCCCCTGGAATTCAGAGAGCCGGCATCAAGTCTTCTTCGCAGCTGCTCTTTCCATTATTCTTGCAACATGATGGCTTCTGGGTGTTCTGTTTTTCCAAGAACTGGGGTTGAAGCCACTATTTCTTAGGCACGTCACGTTTTTCGGAGAGCTTCATTTTCTCCATATCTAAAATAGGGATATTATCCCCGTTTCAGCACTGCGTGTGCACACGACCAGGTTTCCAGACTAGATGTCGGTGGGCGGGGAGGGTGTGGACTCAGCAGCGACTAGGCAGAGTCAGGAAATTCACCCGCTGCTTCTGCGTCCCTTTCCCAGCGCTGAGCTGTAACGAGAACGACGCGGAACACCTGGACCGTGACCAGCCCTACCCCAGCAGCCAAAAGACGAAGCGCATGCGCACCTCCTTCAAGCACCACCAGCTTCGGACAATGAAGTCTTACTTTGCCATTAACCACAATCCCGATGCCAAGGACTTGAAGCAGCTCGCGCAAAAGACCGGCCTCACCAAGAGAGTCCTCCAGGTCAGCTGGGCCGGGTGGGGGCTTCTGCAGCTGCCAGGGCCCGAGGCAAAACTTCGCTGGCACCAGGACTTCAGAAGAACTTTCGGCCTGAGTGCCTTTTTTGCCTTTTACCTTTGTGGTTTGTCTTAGAACGCCAACCTTTTTGCCTGCCATCATATATTCCCTATTTTTGTCCTCATTTTTTTTTTTCTCTTGTGTGTGGTCCTCTGTCTCCATACTTGACTTTTCTTTTTCCTGGTGGCAAACCGTTCTTAATTACCATGTATTACTCAAGTGACTCTCCAACTTTGTCATGTTTTAAGAATTTCAAGTATTTAAGATGAACCCAGGGCCCTCCTGCTTTGTCCCTACCCAAGGGACGTTCAGTGCCTCAAGTTGTCCCTCTCTGTCCTTTTGCCTCCATGTCGTTCTTTTCTTTATTGGATTCTCCTCTGACAGCTCTGGTTTATCTCATGGGTTGTTGTTTGTTTGTTTTATGTTGTCTGTCACCCAGACTTTCCAGGAAACAAGGTTTGGTGATGGTGTGGTGTGCCTGCAGACCTGGTGGGTATGATGGCCTGCCTAAGGGCATCCACCTTTTAGTGTGAGGAGAAGTGGCTGAGTGCTTGTGGGACCGAATGAAATCAGGCTTACAGATGAGGGTACTTCCTCGATAGATAGACAGGATCTGGAACTTTCATGGGATTTCCTTGCCTCCCAAGAGGTTTCAGACTCTGGTCCGGGGCCCAAACTTGTGGTACCATGTCAGGACAATGAATTTCAAATTTTCTGCTTTTTCTCATACTCGTTCCCAGTGCTAGACAAGCCTCTTAAGCCTCCTGCCCCTCAGTTTACTCTCAGTGAAAAGTACACAAGAGTCACCTATGCATGCCGCCTGTGGACGTGCTACTGAGGTGATGGAGGTGACAGCTGAACTAACTGACGCTTTATGCTCAGTGGAGGCTAGTTAAAATTAACATTAAGTTAGCTTGGTATGTGATTAACTCGTACCAGCAGTCCTGGCTGTCAGACCTCAGTTTCCCTATCATACAAGGCAGAACGCCACCCCCAGAAGTTTAAGCAAAACCTGAAGCAGAAATCTGAGAGACTATGTAACCTGACTGTGGCATCACGGTGAGTCGAGGACAGGTCCTGAAAGCTATTGACACTGAAGAAGTGAGAAATCAGAAGGGTCAGAGCCTGCCAGAAAGCAAAAGGAAACTTAATGGGGTGTCCTTGGTGGTGGGCTGTAACTGTGACTTAGATCTTAGAGATCTACAGACTATTATGGCGCTTACCAGATGGGCACCTGGGAAGTCTCTGGGCATCCCTTCAGCAGTGGCTTCCCCAGACTTGTAGCACAGGAGGTGAGGGAGGTCCAGAGGCTGCTCCTCTCTGACCCCGCCCCTCACTGTTTGGTCTGTGCTAGGGTAGTGTTTGGTTCTCTGAACTCTGGGGTGCGCTGCTGCGATTGGGGTTCAAGTTCCTCTGCTCATTTCCTTCAGACTTTGCGTTGTTGGGGCTAGGTCTGGAACCCTCCTTGGACACCTCCTGCTGTCCTCTCTCCCCGTGGTACTCCCTCCTTTAGTTCAGTGTCAGCCTGGACTGAGGATTTAAGACTTTTCTCTGGTTAGTAGCTTTACTCTTGTTCCTGTGTGGGATGCTGGGAAGTGGGGGAAATCTGGAGTTCAGAAAAAAAACAGGCTCAGAACTACCCCCTGGCTTATTTTACCTGCTGTGTGTCATTTGTAAAAAGGTCACTAGTTAGGGCACATCTCTCTCCCAGATGTCTAGATTAAACCATCAAAGTTCAGTCTAAGTACAGAACAGTCCCACCCTGCTTCTTTGGGGGCAGAAGGTAGGGTTCCTTGGCTTAGGAACACGTAGGATTTCCAACTCAGCTGTCCTTTATCCTCTCATCTGGCTGAATATCTCTTGATACCAGACTAGACAGATGAACTGGTCCTGGCCCCTGAGAAATTCATCTGTTGGAGAGAGAAAGACAACTACACAGCAGTCAGTTTCCCCTTGGTATAACTGGTTGGGGTAGCAGGGGGGGCAGGCTTTCCATGTCAAGCATTAGGGTTCCCCTCCCCATAGTGTAGATGCGCACATGAAGGCCTAGATGATTTCTGTCTGCCCAAAGACACACTTGGCTGGTAACGGTCCAGCCAGTGGGCAGAGTGCTCTCCGCTCTGAGCCAACCCAGGCTGGATTTCTCAGAGGATGAGCATCACTGGGGGCCTGTACCTTAGGGTAAGGTCTCTTTTCCTTCCAGACCTCTATCTCCTGCACAAATCCTTTCTGTTCTTTAAAAGCCTAACTGGCCATGACTGCAAAGCATCTTTCTAGCCATGTATCTACCTCATCTTAATCTTTTCCTGCCTGTTTTACAGTGAGAAGATTTTTGTTGTTGTTGTTTTGGTTTTTTTGTTTGTTTGTTTTTTGTTTTTTTGGGTTGTTTTTTTTTTTTTTTTTGTTTTTTTTTTTTTTTTTGAGACAGGTTTTCTCTGGGTAGCCCTGGCTCTCCTGGAGCTTGCTCTGTAGACCAGGCTGGTCTTGAACTCTCAAAGATCCACCTGCCTCTGACTCCCGGGATTAAAGGTGTGGGCCACCGAATACCCAGCAGTAGAGAAGGTTTTAAGACTTGGTAAGATGAAGTGACTTGCTGTGGGTTGCCCAGGCACAGGCAGGCTGGGACTTGTGCCCTGAATGCCCATGGCATATTTTGGGTACCTGGGCTGGTGATGGTGGCTTTGGGAGGTGATGGACTGTTTCGGATCCTCCCTGAGTTACCTACTCTGGGGTTTGGTGCTTCAGTCCCTCCTCTCTGACTCTTGTATCCTACCTGTAAAGGAGAATAACTTAAATACGGGGGAAGTCTGCCAGCTCAATGCCTCCTTGCACACAGTGGGTATCTGTTAAGCAGTTTCTCAAAAGGACAGGCTAACCCATGCCTGTCAGCCCAGCACTTGGGAAGCTAAGGCAGGACGATCTCAAGTTCAAGGCCAGACCAGGATATATATAGTAATAACCTGGACTGGGGAAGGATTTTAGTGCCTAATTAGCATATACACAGCCCTGGGTAGAACCCCAGCACCACAGACAAACAAAACCATGTTACAGAATAAGATCAGATAAAAAGACTTTAGAATCAGTTTAGCAATGAATCGCACCAGCTTCATGGTGCTAGATCCTTCAGCATTCACTATGGCTTTCTTTCCCCACGGTCACAGTTCACCTCAACCCTTCAGAAGGTTTGCATGACAATGGGGATTGAAGTTGAGTTGTGACCTCAGAAGTGGGCAGTGCAGGATGTGTGTGAAGGAGAGTAGTGGTCCTAGGCTCTGTTGAACATATACTGTGTGAGCCCCACCAACATTAGGTAGGCCAGTTCAGCATCCTCGTCAGAATCTGGAGGACCCTGCAATGAGGTCTAGTTCCACTCTCCCATCCCCGCTCTGAATGGATCCTATGTGTTGTAACTACTCCCAGCCTCAGTGGCCTCGGGAGTTGGAGAATCTTGCCTTAGGAGGTAGGGCCGTAGCATAGTTGGTAGAGTGCTTACATAGCATACAGGAAGCCCCAGGTGTGATTCCCCGGCATTGTACAAACTGCATGTGCTAGAGCACGTCTATAACTCTAGCACTCAGTAGATAGAGACAGGAGGATCAGTTCAAGTGAGTTCAAATCCAGCCTCGACTTCATGAGACCCTGTCTCAGATAATGATAGAACAATAATGATAACACTAGTACTTCTGTTCCTGGATATTGCAAGGAGGAAGTGAAATGACACCATCGGCAAAGTTTACATTGGAGGCTCATGCATGCATGTTAATGTCACAAAGCAGCATTCGATTTGCACTTGTCTTTTGTAGGGATTCCAATATATATATTGGAATCCCTATATTGGAAAGACTATATATATATATATATATATATATATATATATATATATATATATATATATATATATATTGTCTGTCCATTTTATAGTTGTGGAAACAGGTTTGGCTAGCCTTATGGTTCGTGGTTAGTTATGAAGCCTGGTGTTAAGCCCATGGTGGTCTTGAGTCCAGGGATCTTTCAAGTACCAAGTGCCACAGGGATTGTGACTTGGACCCAGCTGCAGAATTCAGAATGCAGAAGACAGACAGGAGGGTCCTGGAAATAGGTAGCAATGCTTTCTCCACATCAAAAATTCCATTTGTCACCACCAGCACACTTGGCAGCCACAACACTCACGCTCCAATATTGAGGAAGGTGACCAGGAGGAATCACAGTGGCCCCTCGACAGAGCTTTGTTGTGACATGCCTTGGCAGCGTGTGTGGACTTCCTAAGCACACCTATGTCTCTTGTCCTTGGAGGATATGCAGATGCCCCGGGCTTCCTGAGAGATGGCTAGCTGATTGATCTTGAGTAGGTGAAGTCTCTAGGGATCCTTGGTGTGACTTTGGAAGAACATTTTAAATGCCGATGGCTCAAAACCCATTTTCCCATCACTAGTTTTGTTCTCATTAGCCCAGGAGAGAATTCAGAGGGCTCAGCTAGAACGTGCAGTGGGAATCTCAGCTGCTACAGGAAGTAGTGAAGGTTTTACCCTGAAGGGAAGGTGAGTGACTTCACCTCCTTGAGCCTTGGGTTCCCACTTACAAGATGGTCATTGTACTGCCTGTCACTTAGACAACTTCAGGACAGACGTAGACACACTGAGAGGGAGCCTCACAGATGACTTGACTTGAATCTAAGCCAGGACCTTATACACGCTAGGCAAAGCGCTCTACCACTGAGCTGTGAAGGCAAGGAGACATGAGCCCAGAGAGGTGGAGAACCTCCCCAACATCTCGCAGCAATTCTGCAACAGAACCAGAGCTTCAACTAGGAGCTTTTGAATTCTATTCGGTGCTCATTATTTTCAATTCTTTGAAGAAACCTTTTTTTTTTTTTAATAAAACATTTATTTTTATGCGTATCGATGTTTTGCCTGCATGTGTGTCTGCGAGAGGGTGTCAGATCCCGTGGAATTGGAGGTACAGTTGTGAGCTGCCATGTGGATGCTGGGAAATTGAACTCAGGTCCTCTGAAAGAGCAGCCAGTGCTCCTAGTTGCTAAGCCATCCTTCCAGGCCCTGGGGAAACTGTTTTTAAAAGATGGCAAAATAATAGGACCACCATTTAGACCCAAAAGACAAATAGGGAAGAAACGCCACTGTGAAGACACAGGCCCAGTAATTCATACTTTTTGATAAGTGGTCGAGGGCGAAGATGGGCCTTAAAGGGGTCCACATGTCCGTTCTCCCTCTTTCTGTCCCGGGCACTAACATTCAAGCCTACCTCACAGGGATATTACATGCACCATGTGCTAACATGGACCAAATGCTTGGCATCTAGCTCAGACAGTGCCTGGCTTCACTATGGAGTTAGAGCCACCACCGTTAGTGTCTTCTCAATGAATTATAACACTACAGGCTGTATTTGAGTTGTTATTTGTTTCCAAAGCAGGTTTTTGTTGTTTCTTGTTTGTTTGTTGTTGTTTTATTTTGTTTTTTGAGACACCATCTAGTTCGAGTTGGCCTTGAAAATGATATATAGCCTAGGGTGACCTTGAAGTCCTGATTCTCCTTCCTCTGCCTATGGGCACATAACAAACACCCCATCAGGTTTATGCTGTGCTGGGACTCAAACCCAAGATTTTGCATGCTAGTCAAGTACTCTATAGACTGAGCTAGAGCCCCAGATTTTTGGGGAGGGGTGTCCTTTCTCATTCTGTAGCTCACGCTGGCTCGGCACTCACTCTGTAGGCCTCAGACTGGCTTCAAACTCATGGCAATCCTCTTTCCTCAGTTTCTTGAGGATGAGGAGGCTGTAATTCTTCATCCCTTCTCTTTCACTGTAAGACGTCTCCCCCAGGGCTTGGTGGAGCTGCTGTGCCATGCTTCCACAGCCTATCTGGTTGACACCAGACACAAACGTTGATGTGCTAAGAAATGTCACAGTGAGCATCTTTGGGTATGAGGCGTCACCTTTTGGGTGGCTTCTTTAGAGTCCCAGGAGATTTGTTAGGGGTTCCAATAGGTCTCTTGTTGTCATCCAGGCTGGCCTGGAACTCATGATCCTGCAATATCCTTGCTTTTGCCTCACAAGTGCTGGGGTTACAGACATGTGCCTTCATGCCTGTCTCCAATCCCAGCCTTCTTGAAGAAAGCAATCCAGGGAAAGAGCTTAGGGAGCAGAAACCAGATCCTCAGACAGTTGAAGCCTAGACAAGGGCCACACCATGGTAGTATCATGGCAGTGTTTCGTCACTCTGCTGGGACTTACCAGGACCCATTCTGTGCCTGGCTGAGACACTTACTCTCGCAAGGCCTGGTATTAGTTGTGTCCTGATGATTCTAGGACTGAACTTGTCATTGATACCCCAAAAGTATAACTCCAGAGCTGCTGTGGAGAGCAGAGCTTGAGGCAGCTGGCTACCCAGGGCTCTGGCTTTGGGAGGTCGGGTAGTTGGAACCAATCATTTATGTTCTACTCACAGCTGCCCTGGAACCCCAGCCCCTCGGAACCCCAAGAAGCCACAGAGATGAGCTGCGCTTCAACCCCCTTTTTGTACAAGTAGGAACCAGGCAGGCTCAGAGGAAGGGGACTAGCCAAAGCTCACTTGGCTGGTCAATGGCAGAGCCAGGCCTGGAAGATCAATGCTCGTTCTATTGCGCAAGTTGCTTCATTCGTCCATTCGTTTCCTCATTCACTCATTTACTTGCTGACCTACTCAGGGTCATATGGTAGGGAGAGTGTGGGTGTTTTTATGGCAAACAGCCCTGCTTCTGATCACCTTAGCCTCTGTGTGATTGTGGGTAAGTACCTTTTAAATCTATAAAGTGGGGCTAATAATAGAAACCACGTTGCCTGGCTCGGCACAGGCCTTAACCAGGGATGGTACAGGGTGGCAAGGTTCCTGACACAACATAGCTCACGTGTTAGCATCACCGCTTCTCATCTGAGCTCCAGGACCAGCACTGTGCATATCACTAACACTTTATCTTCTCTATCATACCCCTAGTGTTGGACAGGGTTCCCTGCCCCCAGCCCTCTTTGGGGAGAGGACTTTTTGAAACACCTAGGATTGAATCTTGTTGAAACCTCACACAGAGGGACTATACCGAGTAGCCAGGTTTGGAGTTGACTTTAGGTTTCCACGGAGCAGATTCTTAGCGCCTGGGATCCCTTAAAGCCGAGAACGCAGCTGTGAAGATGGTGTCATTGTTTGTGCACAAGCTGTTGGGGCAACGCCTGGGAAATGGCTAACAGGCTGCAGCTAAAAGCTTCCAGCCTTCCCCAGGTCCTGGGGCCCCTGGGTGAGCAGTGAACCCACTCCCAGGACCCAAAGGGCTCCTCCATTCCAGCTCCCACTCACATACAGGCCAGGACGGTGGCTTGGAAGCAGAACCGAGGCTCTGGCCTTTCTCACAGCTTGACCTTCATGAGACTGAGCAAATCCTGTCTCCATCCATTCTCCAGATACCACCTAGGCCAGGTGAACACACTCTCCCGCTGCAGACTTGACAGCCAGCAGGGAAGGTCCTGACTAGTCTAGGTGGGCATTTCTAAGGGTGGTCTTTGAAGCTTCACACTCGTCTTCTAGCCCCGCAAAGGACTGATAAGCTTCCTTTAGGCAGAGAGCCGGAAAAATGTGCTTTTTCCTTGAGGGGATCAGTGTTCTGGGGAGCCAGCTTGTTCTCCCCTTCATGGGGGAACATCTCTCTCCTTCCTGCCAGACCAAGCTGCTAATTGAGCCCAAATTGTGTCAGGACATTTGAAGTGGGGCCTGATGCCACAGGCTTCTTGCAGCCGGGGTGGTCCTAAGGGGAGGTTGAAGTCAGGAGCTGGCCCATCCCACCCCTGTCAGAGACACTGGGAAGACAGGCAGATGCATACACATCTGGAAACATGCAGCTGGACAGCCTGGAGTCTTCAAAATCCCTACGGTCCTTTGTTTTATGGGGAAGCGTCTGGCCGAGGGGCTCTTTCACTCAGAAGGAAGTGAAGGGGCCCTGCCTTTGGACTTTTTTCCTTGGGAGGGATAAGTAACCACTCCCCAATAGTGGCCTGAATTTCCTGTGAACCCTCTTAAGCATTGCACGGGGCCCCTGGGTATCTCAGGGTCTCTGCTGTGAAGAGAGGGCTTGGGGGGAACGTGGGTGAGTTTTGTGTGCATTTTCAGTGATATGTACAGGTGTGTGCAAACGTTCATGTGCGTACTATAGCTATGAGTGTGACGGACCCCAGAAAAAGTAAAAGTAAGCCTTCAGACTGTCCCTCTGGTATTCTCTGCTCTCTAGTGCTTCTCTAGCTGAGAGCAAAAGTGGGCTCCTTGCCACTGCTTTCTTAGTCATTCATTCATTCATTCATTCATTCATTCATTCATTCATTCATTCATTCGTTTCTGATCCATTCCATATTCTTTATGACATTCTAGTATATACATACACCGACCAAGAAACATTTAAAAAAGAAAAAAGTGTTCATAAAAATGTGTGGCGCATACCATCCACCCCCAATCTTTGGGTTGTATGTGGCCCAAATTTGGGTCTGGGTTTTGCTTTCAGTGGCAGATGCGACAAGAGCCACACATTTAAACAGTTTTAGTGGCTACGTGAAAGCACAAGGAAAGGGATAAAATGAATTTTAGTATTTGTTTAATCCAGCATGTCCACTCAGTATGAAATGGATAACACTACCCCCTCCTTTCTTTCCCGCTAAATCTTGAAATCTCATACATGATGTCCTTTCTACATTGGCCACATTTGGCTAGTGGCTTTTCAAGGCCTCAGCCTCAGTACAACCGCAAGGGGCTAAGCGCCGAAGCGTCCTGGCAGGAAGAGCGACCCAGCCATAGCCACCAGAGGACACAGCATTTTATTTATTTTTTTGCGAAGAGGAGATGCGGGCATAGACTCTAGGCAGACCTCCCGCTGGGCCGCAGTTGGGTTGCTGAGTTGAGCAGACCTGAAGCAGCAGCTGTCCCCCACCTCCCCGTCCCTTCCCCTAACCAGTCCTCCCCTGTCGTCCCCCACAGGTCTGGTTTCAGAATGCCCGGGCCAAGTTCAGGCGCAACCTTTTACGGCAGGAAAACACGGGCGTGGACAAGACCTCGGACGCCACGCTGCAGACAGGGACGCCGTCGGGGCCCGCCTCGGAGCTGTCCAACGCCTCGCTCAGCCCCTCCAGCACTCCTACAACCCTCACAGACTTGACTAGCCCCACCCTGCCGACTGTGACGTCAGTCTTAACTTCTGTGCCTGGCAACATGGAGGGCCACGAGCCCCACAGCCCTTCACAAACGACTCTTACCAACCTTTTCTAATGACTCGCCACCCCCTTCTCCCCAAGCGCCCCACGATTTCTTTAAAAAAGAAATTATCTTTAGTTGAATTCCAAGTGTATTTTAAAAATAGAGGTTTGAGCAACTAACTAACCACGTTTTAGGATCTCGCCTGGAAACAGAGGGAAAAAAAAAAAAAGAATTGTGCGTCGGGCTAACGCAGCGGTGTGTGCTAAGGAATTACTTGGGAGATATATTGCAACACAACATTTGTGACCCTGTACAGTTTTGTGGACTGAGCGAGGAAAACAACAAATAATTTAAGTTGGCTGAGAGCTTCCGTATTTTCAAAGACTGCCACGTGCCTTAGGAATACTGTTTTATCTTCGTACTTTGGATGAATTGTTCGTTTTTTTCCCTCTCCCTCTTTTTCTCTCTGTATATTTATGACCAGAGCAAAATGTAAAAAAGGAAAAAAAAAAACCAACAAAAAAAGTTTGTTACTTTGAATAGTCCTAAAAAGAAAAAGGAAAAAAAAAATCAACCCCCCTCCAACGGTCGCTTTCTTGTTTTAGAATTTTAAGGTGGAAGTCTGTTCGGATATCAGAATTTGTAAAACCTAACCAGTAATAAAATCACTTATCGAAAAGACTTGGTGCTGGTACTGTTTAGTGAGTGAGGACAGAGCGTTTTCTGAACTCCAGACCTCCAGGGTGTTCACCTCCCTTTTCTCTGTGTCCGGGTTGTGCCTATTTGATGGCAACTCAAAGACATTCAGGTCTCACACTTAAAGAATTGACAGCAGAGTCAAGTTTTCATGCTAACAGTGGTGTGTATGTGTGTGTGTGTGTGTGTGTATGGGGCTCTGTTAACAGTGCCTTTTGTTCATCTGTGCACACATTCATTTGTTCATCCTCCTGTCTGATGGGGTCAGAAGCCCTCACACCGGTCTTTTCTGCCCCTGGCAGGGCTGAGAATGCACTCAGTACTGTGAGAGGCCTCCTGAAAATGTGCCCCTTCTTCTGGGAGAAGTCTGCTGTCATTCAAGAGCAACCTAAGCCTGTTTTCCTAATATCTATCACTGTCTCTCTGTCTTTGTCTCTGTCTCTGTGTCTCTCTCTCACTTACAGAGAGAGAGAGAGAGAGAGGGAGAGAGGAAGAGAAGGAGAGAGGAGAGCTTTGTTTTTCTAAGTTCCTCCCAAGAGATGGGACTGGAGAGATGGCTCATTAGCACTTTGTTACTTACAGAGGACCTGAGGTCAGTTCCCAGCACCCACATCAGACAACTTACAAACACCTGTGACTCCAGCTCCACTGAATCCAATGCTTCTGGCCTCCCTGGGAACCTTCACTCGTGAACATTTACACACACACACACACACACACACACACACACACACACACACCACATTTCCATATTTTAAAAACTAGTAAAGGGAATGGAGAAATGTATCAGTGGTTTGCAAAGGACCTGAATTTGACTCCCAGCACCCACATGATAGCTCACAAACCATCTGTAACTCCGGTTCCAGAGGAGCTGATGCTCTCTTCTGATCTGGTCCACCACCAGGCACATTACAAGGTTCAGACGCAGATGCATGCAAAACACAATAAAAAATAAAATAAAAATAATACCTTTATGAAATGTCCTCAAGAGGAAAAAGGCAAATGAATTTAGTGTTCCTACTAAAGGATTAGGGAATCTTAAAAATCCAGAGAAAAGACACCTAAAAGGATGTGGTTTTGGAGCAAGATTAACCAAACCCGAATCTAGACCACTGAGCCAATGTAAACTGAAGGAAGCCATCTTGCCTGTTTGGCTCTCAGTTTCTTCTGCTGTAAGATACAGAGTGTGACTTCCAGATGGCACTCTGAGATGGCCCAGGCGAGTTCTCCCTATCTTTTATTGAATGCCAGGTGACAGGAGAGGAGGTAGACAGCATGAATGACTATGTGTACCCAAACAGTGCCCGTGACTTCAGAATTCCTGCAGGTGGGGTACATGAGTTGCTTCCAGGGTTAATTCCTCTCTCTGACTCTCTAGATGCCAGCAGTCACCCCTGACATGTCCCCAGTAGCCCACTGATTGGAAAACTTCAAGGACCATTGTAGCTGGGGAAAATTGAGCAGGTCTGGGGTCTCTCTTTTTCCACCTTCGGCCATCATATTGCAGAAGCAGCAGAGGGAGGAGGGAATGAGACAGGCTTGGGCTGAGTGCTAGAAGCCTAAGCTGAACTATTGGGAAATATTTTTAAAAATCAAAGTCACAGATATACCTGAACATACCTTTGTTCATACCTGAACAAAGCATGTTGATTAATGTTTTCCATGTGAACACACCCACATTGATGCCACCCAAGTCAAACCATGGGACACTGTCCCACCCCAAGTCTCTGTTCCCTGACCACCATTTCCACTTCTCACACTTGAGATTCAGTTTGTTTTTTCTTAATTTTTAAAAATATCTACTTACTTGTAGTATGTGTAATGGCATTTTGCCTGCATGTCTGTGCACCGTGTGCGTGCCTGATGCCCACAGAGGTCAGAAGAGGGTGCCAGATCGCTTGGGACTAGAGTTATAGATGGTCGTAAGCCGCCTGTGGGTGCTGGGAACTGAACCCCAGCCCCCTGGAAGAACAGCCAGTGCTCTTAGCCACTGAGTGTCATCTCTCCAGCCCCTTGATATTAGTTTTATTTGCTTTTTTTTAAATTTTTATTTTATGTGCACTGGGGTGAGGGTGTCAGGCCTGGAGGTACAGACAGTTGTGAGCTGTCATGTGGGTGCTGGGGTTTGAACTTGGGTCCTTAGGAGGAGCAAACAGTGCTCTTAACCACTGAGCTGTCTGTCCAGCCCCAGATTTATTTATTTAATGTTATGTGAGTGTTCTATCTGCATGTGCACCTGCTTGCCAGAAGAGGGCATCAGATCACATTATAGATGGTTGTGAGCCACTATGTGGTTCCTGAGAATTGAACTCAGGGCCGTTGGAAGGGTAGTCAGTGCTCTTAACCTCTGAGCCAAATCTCCAGCCCAGTTTTATTTGCTTTTGATCAACTAAGGAGACTCAGCAAGATTTAGTCACTTGCTTGGGATCCCACAGCCAGCCCAAGCTTCAGGCTTAAGCCGTCATGCATTCGTGGTTACACAGGGAAGCAAGAGCAGGGAGCAGCAATGGGCATCACATTTTCTGCCTGTGCATTCTCTGCTAGGACCCCACGAGGATGGCAGCAGAGGGCCTGGCCCAGGGATGGCCACACATACACAATGGCTCCAATCACCCCCAGGAACACACACCCAGGCACATTGTCAGGGGCTCCTAGACAGAGGCACTAGCTAAGACGTTTCTGCCCAGACAGAACCTCAACGAAGACTTAGACCAGATGCTTGGAGACAGACATAAACAGGCCCAGACGCTCCCATGTAGACTCAGCCAGACACCAGACCACCCCACATGGGGGACCTGCACCCAGCCTCAGACGTGCAAGCACGTGAATGTGAGCAGTACCCAGACACCCCCGCATAGCCCTGCTGTGCCCCTTGCTCAGGCCCGGGCAGAGCCGAGCCTGATAACTATCTCGTCTGTCAGCACTGCCACCCAGATGGAGAGGGCCTGGGAATGGTGCCCCAGGGTCCCCCCCCCCCGCCCTGCTACAGGAGCCAGGTTAGAAAACAGGTCTGCTCCTGGGCTGGAGATGGGGACCCTGGAATCAGGTGTGGGAGGAGTTTCTCTCTCAAGATCTGGAATGGGGGGTAGGGGGACCAGCAAGGATCCTAGGACAGAAAGACAATGACAGAGATACATAGAGGTGGAGACAGAGGAGCAGGGCAGAAGTGGGAAAGAGACACACATGAGCAGAAGGCACAGAAAAGACAGCACACCAAAGAGATAGAGTTGGAGTGACATAGAGACACAGGGAAAGACAGGGAGACAAAGAGACTGGGACAGAGCAGGGCAGATTTGGGAAGGTGATCCTGGCACAGGTTGGGAGGCTGAATGAGGCTATTCTGAGGAATGAAACAGGAAACACACCAGCCCCCTAAAGGCGGTTGAAGAGAATAAGGAAGTGGGACCGAGGTCAGAGCAAGGAAGAGGCAGAAGAAGCAGGCGGTGCCCAGGCTGCCGTTTGACAAGAGAGGAGGAGCTGCTGGCAACATGGCCCATTGTGTCTGCTGACCACACATTTTGTGAATATGGGGTCTTCCTTGTCCTGAGATCCACACAGAGACTCAGCACTGGCAGTCTGCAGGAGCGAAAGTCTCCATCATGAACCTACCCCTGTCCACAGGGTAGGGGGTCCTGGGTAGATGGAAGAGCCCTTCTGCAATCTTCTTACCATTGGGGGCCATAAGTCAGGCACTTAGCTACTCTGGCCCTTAGTACCTTCAGCTGTAGTTGGAATATTTCTAAAGAAATTCTCTGTGAGGGAATATGAACCCTCTTTGTCAACAGTTGACTAAGTCCGAGAGAGGCCATAGTAGAGATGGGAGTCTAGCAGATGAAAGCTCAGGGTGGACAGCAGATGATGATGGGGAAGGCCCTGGGCAATGAATGGGCTGCTCACTCATGACTTTACCACTCTGAGGCCTGTTAGGAAGCTTCAGTGACTATTGGGCTAGGAGGAGAGTGGGGCAGGGAGAACACTGGAAGCTAAGACCAGGGTAGGAGTTGTCCAGCTTCATAGTCTACCCTTCTGGGCTAAAATCTTGGGTTCTGTCAATAGGCCCTGCCACCTCCCAATTTCTTGCTGTAGTCCCTAATGTGGGCTGCAGGTATAACTGGGCATCTCCAGGCTCCCTCATCAGCTGAGGGCCCCTGTGCTACCAGGCCTCTAGAGGCAAACATGCCTTCAAACCTTCCCTTCCATCTCTCTGTATGCCTTCATTCTCCCCTCAGCCCCTCAGTGGACCGAAACACAGAAATAATTTGACTTACAGTGAGCGTCTCCTTTGGGCTTCTGGGCTCCCTGGGAGACAAATGAAGCAACAGCCAGTTGCTGACCTGCTTGAAGGAAGCTGCCATTTCCTTTCACAGACCAGCTCAGCAGCATCACACAGCATGGAGTCCATTGGATATTCACAGCTCAGATGAATCCATCCCCCACCATACCAGCTACCATGGCTAGGGCACGTGGGCAGTCCAGACCTTTTCTGGCATCTTGCAGAAGCAGAGGAAGTACTGGAGAAGAAGGGGATGGGTTTCCAAGAAAGTGGAGAGCTGTAAGAGGATGCCTTCTCAGGATGAGTGGAGGACACTTTGAGTCACAAGACCAGACAGCATACTGCAAAATGCTTGAGGTGGCCGGGGCTGGAGGAGGGTACAGAGGCGCTTGCATGGACATGGCTGCACAGGAGAGTTCCAGCCATACTGCTCCAAACGACGGCTCTTACAGCTTTCCCAAATAGCCAGAGTAGGAATGCAGCTCAATTGGCGGAGTGCTGGCCTAGCATGTTCCAAGCCCTGGGTTCGATCCTCAGATGTGGGTATGCCTCCAAGTCCAGAATTCACAAGGAAGAGCCAAGGGGATCTGGAGCTAAAGGGCATCCTCCAAAGTGAGTTCAAAGCCAGCCATGCAAGCAAGCAACAACTAAGTGGTCTGTCTCTCCATCACTTCCTGTGAAGAAGCCTAGCCAGGGGTATCTCA